TCAATTAAAAACTACAAAGAACTGTATCTCAAGAGAAACTGCCATTGCTCAGATAAAGTGTTTAATTTTTCCACAGTGGAATTAAGAGGTCTGTGCAGGCAGACAGTTATCTGCTTCTGTTAGCCTTGATGACTCATGTTAGCAGGGATTCAAGTCAACAGTGACTCAAGGTTTGTTTCACTCAAACTGTCAACAAAAGCTGGTGGACCTTCACAAGACTGTCATTTTTACCACAGCCTGGTGCAAATTAAACATGTAATTAAAGAAGAAGCTGCAAGAAAATACTGGCATCCTCAGTGCTGTGCTCATTCTTTTAGAAATATATACTGTAGTTTGTATTTAGGATGTAAAAATTAAATTCTTACAAGAAACTATTTCATATGAAATTTTTCTGTAATGCTGTTTTGAAGAATTGTACAAGTTCTTTGAAAGTTTTAAGGAACATGTTGTTTATATCAGTTCTGATCATTCCTGATAAAAGCTCCTTTGTAATGCATTTGTGTGATGTTTTCTGACTTCTCAAATATAGATTTTTCCAAAGAAAAGCAAAAGTTTATTTCAAACAATCTGCATATTCAGCGTGATAAAATCCTCTGATATTTTTAGAATAAAGGCATCAAACAGTTAACTGTTTAAGATATTGGTCAATGCTATCATTTAATCTGAAGTCTATGATTTACATTTGTTTTTACAATAAACGGTCATTTAATAAAGTGAAATTGGAAGTTTGCATCATAATTTAACCTAGTGGGGGCAATCAGGGATCAGCGATAGAATCTTGATGGGTGTCGGAAAACATTGTCAAACATCTACAAACAAAAGGAACACCAGGGAAATTTTTACAAGGACACACAAATGAGAAACTAAATTAAAAGTGATGCAATAAAGGAAAGAACAAACAAAAGAAGACGCGTTTCAATACTTCTAGCTTATAAAACTTTACCAGGCTGTACTGTAGGCTTCTTCCTCTTAAAATATAAAGACGACTGAATGAAATTAACTGTTCACTGCTGCTTGCTTGGTCAACTACTCACTCATCAAATTCCAGGTAAAGTCATTAAACTTAACCTAAAAATTACATGGAACTCATATGAAAGTTCCATGAAAGTTCAAGGAAAATACCTGATTTGCTCTTTCAGCTAACCCTGAAGGTCCAAAAAGTACCTGGTAGATTCTGGGTAGGTAAAACAGTCATTAAAAGTTCCAGTAAAGTCCCTTTGTAGTATTAATCTTATTACCACCATAAGTGTATGAATCATTGTTTGTTGGTCTGCTGTCACATGTTTGTGCGCGTTTCGAGTGTCGGCCTTATAGGTCTTTAGTTATAATAAGCAAATTTTAGTTTTGGTGCATTTGCAGGGTTTTTTTTATCATAAAAAAAAATGTCTTTCCAGCTTCAACATCCTACTTTAAAACTGCACAGCAAATTTAACCAAACACTGCAAGTCTTAAAGGTGCTGTTCATCTCTTGCTAATTTTCTAAGAAAAATCATTTAAAAACTTCTAACCTAAAGGCATCTTACAAAAATGAATTAATTTAATTCAAAATGTCCCACAGGTGAATGTTTAATTTTCTGGCAGACTTTCTACGCCCTTCAAAATAAATTATTTGACCCAAAGTTGGTCTTAAAGGAAAAACACATTGCACATAGATACTGCTGGTAAACATACTCCACTGTGATTAATACACTAAGATGAGGCTATGCTATTAAGCATAGAAAAAAGAAAAAGCATGAGCATTGTCAGCTCAATGCACACGTGACCTGTATTATTAGCTGAGCATATATGCGAGTACTGAGTCAAGAAGATGGTACAAATGTGTCAGTTTGACATGCAGAAGAAAAATACCGTCTTACTTTTGTCATCTGCAATGGAAAATTAAAAAACATGTTGATTTATGAAATTAACTAAAGAAAGACTCAATAAGATTTGAAAATCTCCAACTTTTAGGAGAGAACAATTATTGACTGAGTCAAAAGCTTGTGAAGTGGATGACATTATATTATGCAGGTGTTACCTGATTGAGCCCTACTTGACTGAATTCACCAAAATTTGCATATCACTTTTGAACTACTCAAGCTGCTCAGCTCAAAGTGCTTTCTGCAGGCCATACAATGTACAAGATAAGCTAAATTACAATAGTATTACAGTGATAAGACAGGCACCCTAAAAATAAGAGCAGTGACATGAAAAAAAACTAAAGAAATCTGAAAATGAAAAAGATGAAGATAAACAGTAACATAATTTAAATGAAATAGGTGTACAGATGAAGACAACTGAATGTGATGAGAGGAATTTGAAGGTCTAAGTTTGTCAAGGTTTCTAGATAGTCAGAAATGAAGAAATCCGATTCATTCCAACAGTCACTGTGACAAGACAACATAACACGGTTTAAAGTTGGGAAAAATTAGGTTGAGGCGTACGTACTAGTTATAGTCTATGAGCGTAGTGACCTGCAGAATGGAGGAGAAAATGCAGCTCGATTGCACAAGTCTTGTCCTTGTATAGATAAAAGGAACGCTGGGAGATGATACATTAAAATGTGAATTATACATCTCCACTGCTTTTTCTTCACACAATGATGCACTTTATTCCTTGGCTTAGAAGACGAAACAACCTGTATGATATGAATCCGTAACTGTAAAGCTCCAATATAAAAATGAAAAAGCAATAATGTTTGTTCACCCATTTCACTTTGCTATTAATATATACATATAAACCCGGACAATTTGTACTTTAGAATTTCAGGAATTTGCTCAATAAACACCAAAAGTTCAAAACGCAAAAATTCTGAATGGTAAATTTTAGGAATTGAGGTACAACGCTGTCCTCTCTTGCATTGTTTTGAATCATATACCAACCAGAATTTATGTGCCCTGACGGAGGGGAAAGAAGAAATTACTGTGCTTTCAAACAGAACAAAGCAGAGTAGAGGAAGAGAACTTGCAAAGAGCTCTGAGAGGAATCATTGTACCCTTTGCTCTTAAAATTTTATTATGCCCAGGAGGCTTTTCAGAGGAAGAAAAGGGCAGCAGCAATTTAGCTCAAGAGCAGCCACCATGACTACTGATAAATACAAAAATCATTCACAAATTAAGTGTTCTCCTGATAGTAAAGGATTGCTGAAGGTATTACCTTGTGTTGGTCATTGGACACAACGTTGTGAAGCAAGTTGACAATCCAATATTTAATGGTTAAGCTTTTGTTCACTTGCTACTAATTAGTGGAAATAATGATTGGTTAATCCTTAAAAATATGGAGAAAGCTACTCTGACCCGCATAAAATTGTTTGTTGTTATTGACTGAAAGGCTTCATTAGCAGTGAAGGAGAAGTCTCTTGCAGGGCAACTTTTTTGCAGGTCATATTTTCATTCTAGACTGATCATCCCAAACCTTTGTGCAAGAAAGCCGTAGGCAATTTTTATTTATTTTTATTTTTTCTGTCCTTGTTGAAAATTCTGGTTCCTTTGAAGAGATTACAGGAATGCATTATTTGCTTCCACACAGTTTACTCAGACAAAAATGATTGTAGTTAAAAGTTTCGGCACGCAGTAAAAATCTATTCGCACATTTCATTTTTAAAGCGACAAGTTTATGAGATATTTTATATCAGCCCACTTTGCAAGACCAAGAGATTCAATACATTTCCAAATACACAGCTTCCAGTTTGGTCCAGATTTTATTCGAATAAGTCAAATTCACCTCCAGCCATAATTCAAGTAAAGGATTATTCTGAAGAAAGGCCCATGAGTGGCATCCGGATGAGAGACGCCTCTAATTAGAGTTAGCAATAAATTTGTGTCACGTAGAGGGTCTGTGCTACTGAGCTTGACACAGTGAAGAAACTGGAGTATAATTTAATGGGTTTTGAGAAGCAGCTGTGTCCATGTTTTATTGTTTTTTGTGCAGCTAATGGATGTTATAATCCATGTGCAGCAGCGGCTGTAGGGCTGTTGCACTACATCAAGTTTCATTGTGAGATCCTGAAACTTACTTTAATGTATGCAAAATCATGTTTTGCATACATTTGATCAGCTTGTATGGTTATATACACGACTGTGTAATTTCGATTGTGGTTCACTTTATGAATAACATCAATGTTTTTCATAAGCAGTAGAGATGGATGTTTGTGTTTCTGTTGATCTGTCAGTTTGCTCGATCATTCTTTTCCCCAGAAAGAATCCAGAAAGCCCTAGATTTGGGATGAACGTGCAAAATCGAGGGATAGGACAAAGCAGTAGGGCAGCAGGGTTAAATGGGATCACGACCTTAATCTTCTGGAGGGAATTCATAGTGTTGGTCTTGGTTGTAAACACAACAAATGTCAGAGAGGGATCTTGGAAAAGTTTAAAATAATCGAACAATCTCCGGTTCTTTTCTTCTAGTCACAAAATACGGACCAAGTTATGGGGATTCGTTTTAGCTAAAGCAGAGGAAAGCTTAAAAAATGTACAATGTCTATTTTTTTCTGTTAATTTTTGTTCTGATTCTGCACTATATCCCTTTATAACACACTTTAAGAAAAAATGCACAAATGTAAGATTTATATGCCTTGAAATATTAGAAATGCAATCTTGCAAAGCACTAAGAGATAAGAGACAAGCCTGAAGAGTCTAATGATTTTAATGATGAAAAAGTTTCTTTCTAGTGAGCTGACTAGATATGCTATTGATTGTTTTCACTGCAAGCAGGGGCCTATTTTTGTGAACGTCACATACAGCCAGTCAACACATATAATAAGAGAATTAATTTCTCTTACAGAATTAGACATTCCCATTCACTTATTTACATAAATTAAATTTTCTGCTATATTAGAAGAGCGTAACTATTCCCCCCAATAATAATTAAAGAAACCCACGCATCCAAAGTGGAGGCACAAACTTTGACACAAACCCACATAAGCATAATGTATTCATGACACAACCAAGCTGTACACTTGGTTATTGATTGAGTGCTCCACATTGACCAAGAGGCTTCTTTTCCATTCGTTGAAAACTCACTTGTACACTTTTTGATGCCAGATCCTTTCTTCACAGCATGTCGACTAAGCTTGCACTGGAAGTTGTTCTCCCAAAACTCTGCAAACCAGATATTCCGTCTGTTGTTCTCTAATGTCCGGCTGATGAAGTACCGATCAAAACCTGAAAGTCATAAGAATTAGAAAGTTTTTGTTATTTTATTTTATTTTTTTTCCCCAAAGCACAAAAACAAATTATTTAGTGCAAGTTAATTATAAAATACATTAAAAACCTCTTAGCGCTTTTGTGTCAGGTATTAATGTTGGCATATTTAATTTATTTAATTTTCTCCACTCTCTCCTTTGACTTACAGTCTGTGAGCCAGAAAGCAACATTGACAAAACGTCAAAATGCACCCAAAGGGGAAACCATGAAGTAAGGACAATTTGAAGAAGTTTTCCCAGAAGCCCTGAACTTCAAATTAGAGTAGAAGACAAATTCATATTCTTTGAAGTTGCTCTAAGGCTCATCAATTTTATTTTAGATATGATTCGAAGCTACCACAAAATAATGATGCCGCTGCAGCGCCCGTCATAAGGGGAATACCTTTAATGGACTGTCGTTTTGGTAGGATGGTGACGGCACCTTCTGCCATTTCCTCTTGGTTCAGGATAGGAGCACTTTTGGATCCCCAGCTGTCGGAACCTACCCAGATGAAATGACCCGTTTGATTGGCTCTTTTAGCTGCTTGAAGTAGGCGCCTGTGGGATGGATCAGAAAACAAATACATTTTTTAATATACTGTATATATTGTGTTTAGGTATAAGTGTGAGCAACCTGCAACAATACTTATTTTAGACAATGATTGGACAGACAGATGAATAGAGTCTAATATCAGACTCCACATACAGCAAAACTGTAAAAAAAAGCCGTTGCAGCTTGTTGCTTGACATGGATAGTTCAAGTAGAATTTGGATGACAAAGAACTAAAATTTAAAAGTATCCAATATGCCAGTTTTAGCATAATCAAACCTTATTAGATTAAGTTTTAAATTTATTGTAAATAATAATAATAATAATAATAACAACAGATAACAGGCTCTGCTGTAAATGTTTACTGAAGGATATTTCAGATAGAAATGTTAAACAAAACCAAAAAGATTTGGCATGTGAAATATTGTATTTATATTGCTTTTAAAAAGCAAGAAAAACAAATATGTGTTTCTAGTCTTTGCCCTTACCATCCCCACTGTCTTTTGCCCAGTACAAACAAATGAAAACCAATTTCTAAAAACAAAATAAATCTGACAGTGCGTTTTAACTTTTTGAGTTTACAGGATGGTTGAAGTGTTTTAATTAACATTTGCCAGCATCTTATTCAATAATCTCAATTTTAACTTGTGCACAAGACATACTTTCTCAACTATAATTGTAATAGATTTTAAATTGTTTATGTATCCTTATAGCCATCTGTTTTTGAAAAAGGCAGTATATCCCACAGTCAAAGTGATATTTTTAGGGGTTTAAATAAGTTATGTTAGAATATTTTACAACATTTATGTTCTGAGACTTTACTGAAAACATCCTGAATCAGGAGCAGATCTTATAATAAAAAAAGAGGCAGCTGCTGCTGTGCGTGCTTGTACAAGGGGAATCTGGCACCATTTAATTATTAAAAATATGTGAATATTACAACTTACAATACAAGCTCTTCAGAGTGATTTCTAACACAGAATGTAAACACTTTAAAGAAGCCACACATTATGGCTGCAGAACATAATGTGTAATCCTAGTCAGGGCACTCCTCTTTTTTTTATTCAAAAGCAAGTGAGACACAAAATCCCTTTAAAATTGAATCAAATGTCACCTATCCATGGACATTTACAAAGTCTTCTCAAAGTCATAAGTTTATTTTTTGTATTTGGAGGAATTGTCTTTTAATTTGCATGAGTTGGATGAAAGGTTTTGGTGTTGTTACAACAGCTTGCTGAAATTTAGGCCCATGATTCACCTTCCTGGCTGATAAGATGCTGCTTCAGTATTTCCTCATAATGTTCTTTCTTCATGATACCATATATTTTGTCAAGTGCACCAATCCCTCCTACAGCAGAAAACCCAAACAACATAATGCTGCTACCCTCCACTTCACACACACCTGAAATAAATCTAAACTGTAATATGTTTATGTTTTGCTTTAGGAGTAATGGCTGATTAGCCCATATTGGTTGAGAAGTTGTTTTCCTGTGCAAAGTGACTTTTTTAACAAATTCTACCTGCAACTTCTCTATGTTTGTGTTATAAAGTTGGTTCAGCTATTCTGAGACACAGAGTCCCTCTTCTCCCTCTCTATTATGGATAGAAAGGACAGCATCTGTGGCCACCCGTGGCCATATAGAAAATTTACTAAAGGATGTAGCAGTCTAGTGGGTTTATAAAACTATGTTCCTGATATTTCTCCTGATTTGATTTATTTATTTTTTGCCGATGTCACAGTAGGAAGCAGCAATGCATGTGTCTCAATGTGTCTCTAGTTGATTTAAATATTGTGAATTAAACTGGCATAAGTCAAGTCATTTAAAGTCATAGCAACTTCATTTTACCTCTCAACATGAAAAATAACAATTTTTTTTTTTTTTTGCATCCAATTAATTTAGCATTTAGCAAATGTGAATAATTTTTTAACTCTTGCCTGCAACAAGAAAATGTGTAACTTAATGTGAGGGGAAAAAGTATTTTCAGATGCCATGTTTAGTTTTCTCTTAACACCAAAACAAAACAGTATATGCATGCATTTGGTTGATTGTACTGGAAACAATGTCTTGTTATGACTCGGTCTTGTCTTTCCTTGTGCAGATTTTTGAGATCATTAAGATGTTGGACGGTCATCTCAAGGATAGTGCAGTCATGCTGCACTGTGATCCCACTGGCCTTTGGTAATTACTGTATATCCAGCCTATTACCTGTTATCAGGACTGGCTTAAGTCAGTGAGCAGTGGGACTTCTGACCCAGACATCAAGATCTCTGCCCACTTCCATTGCATATATGCTGACCTACTAACTGTTTGCTGGGAAATATTCTCCTCTAAGAAAACGGTGCTGCATGTGAACAAAACAATCATTTCCTTAAGATTTTTTTTAAAGATTAGATAGTAATTGGCACTATAGTCATGCATTTTTTAAATTTAACACAGACAAGACATGCAATTATAATAGAAACAGGATAGAAATAGAATTTGCACTCTAATGAGTACTTAATATTACTGTATTGACTTTAAAAAGATTTCCAAGTAAAACCTTTTGCAAGTAAAACCTTTGAAAATCTTAATTGCCATTTGACAGAGAATGGTGTAGATGTAAATGGCATTTAAGATAAAGCAACTAGTTTTAAGTACTAGTTTTAAATTGACAGTATCTTGAAAGTATCCAACCATAGCAAACTTTTAAGGATATAATCAATATGTTAATCAACAGTACAACAGTAATCAACAGAACATTTTTACACTCTTCACTTTTCTCACCTGATGTCGTCCTCGTTGGCAAAGATAATAACCACTCGAGCGTTGGGGTTCTCACTTAGCCGGTGAATGATCTTGTCAAACTCTCCAACTCTTGGTTCACGTGGGATTTTCACTGACTGGGATATGCACAATCCGCCTAATTGGAAGACAGAAAACAGATTTTTTGACATTTAAAAGACTCAGGTATTGAAAAATTGATTCCCCATTAGTTCACGTAATGAGTTTTTTGTGGCAGTACTAAATTTTCTCCTATGGTTGTCGTTTGCAGCAAAGTGTTGCCTTTATGTCTTTTAACAGCACAAATCTGCGCCCACTGGCTATTGTATTGGGTGACATGGTTCATCATCCTGCTGGAAGAAAAATTCAGGAGATGAGCGTAGCGTGGTCAAAATGGTTGGACATAGTCAGCAACAACACTCGGGTAGCCTGTGGTGTTTGAACAATGCTCAACATTTTTTTCCAATCTGTTATTGTCAAATTTAGTTGAGCCTGTGTGAATTATTCCCTAAGCTTTCAGTTCTTAGCTGACAGGAGTGGCATCTGGTGTTGTCTTCTGCTAAATTTGATGCCTTGGCATTCTGAGATAATATTTTGCATATATCACTATGAGAAATAGCTATCGCAGCTACTATTGTCTTTCTGTCATCTCAAACCAGCCAGTCATACCATTCTCTCCTAACATATGACACCAATAAAACATTCCCATATACACAATCACCACCGAAAGAATATTCTGTCTTTCTCTGACCATTTTCTTGAAACCTGAATGGTTGTGTGTGAAAAACACACATATATCTTGAGATGTTCACCCTGTAATCAGTGGGTTGCTGGTTTGAATCTCCACTCCATCCATCTCTGTCATTGTGTCTTTGGGCAACAGATCTCACCTGCCTTGCCTGTTGGTGGTCAGAGGCCCGTTGCATAACAGCCTTGCCTCTGTCTCACTGCCCCAGGGCAGCTGTGACTACAGCACTATCCGGTAGCTTGCCACCATCAGAGTGTGAATGTGTGTGTGTGACTGAGTGAACGACTGAATATAGTGCAAAGCGCTGGGATCCTCTGGACTTGATAAAGCGCTGCTCAAGTAAAGGCTTTTTACCATTTATATAAGCTACAAAAAACTTTAATATAAATACCTGCTTAAAATAATTTTCAAAAGATGCATTTAATTTGACAAAAAAAGCTTCATCGGTATGCAAATTTTACTTGATTGAATATGACTGTAGATCCCCAAATGCACTGAATTGCTGCCATGTTATAGGATGACTCACCATTTGTGTTAATCAATTGGGCAGGTGTACCGCTTAAAGAAGCTGACATTTTGGAGTTGTTTAAGATAGTTGCATTGATAAATAATTGCAGGTGCAATATTTCTCAACATGAGTGACGTAAGGTATTAAAAATCTTTCATCTGGCAAAATGGTCCAATTAGGCTATTATGCATCCCATTAATTCCCATTACAGACTTGTCAGACGGTCTGGGAGAGTCTTGATTTCATGAGTTACTACTAAAGTCTGATAAAAATCTTCCATAACATTGTAACATTTGGAAGTGTATACATTTTTCCAACTGCAATCTGGTTTTATTTTTCTGTTTTGTCATTTTTCTTGTTCATGTGAACAACTATAGTTTACGGTGACCTTTTAAGTTCTGCTGCTTGTCTATTGATTACACAGAACCTTGAAAGCAAGGCAGAAAATAATACATGGAATGTATTTAAAAGCTTTCATTTCAGATAAAACTAGTCAGTTTATTTCTTTCTAGGAATGTTGTGTCCAATGGCATATTTTTTTTTTGGCATTGGCATGCACAGTAACATAAAACATCCCACAGTTGCAAACTGGCAAAGGCCGTTTAATTCCTGATGGAACATTTCAACAGAGCTGTTTTGTCACGCTGCCAAAATTCCACAGAGACATATGGATGATAATGAATTTCACTCTCACAGCTCTGCAGAAAGCTAGCCCAATGAGGAATCGTTGCAGGAATAATATGCTTTAGTCCAGTTCAAAGCAGCCAGCCTCATTGTATAAAGAAGGTCAGAGTCTAAGTTGGAAAATGGGAAATATGAGTAAAGTATAGGGAAGTCCATTAAATCAACAGTGGTGTTGTGCTTCCTTGCTCCTAGGAACAAAAAGCCCTTTCCAGTTAAATCAGTGAGTTGCTTGAGTCAGTGACCTGCACTATTGTTCTGACTGTACAATGAGTAAATTTAATCATGTTTTCTGTTTTTCCTCAAATGTCTGCTTTCTCTGTTCCACTTGTTTCTCAGAAAGGCAGTGTGTTTAGTTTTCTTGTGGTCATGCATGTCACAAGTCGAAGGTGACATTTCTGGATCATGTGTGTCCAGTCGGCTGGCTAATGGATTAGCAGTTCCTTCAATGAAGAAATGCATTCAGTCTTTTCTGACTGTACAGGCTTATGTTTGTGTTTAGTTCCTGGGTATGTTTTCTGTTTGTACTGTCAATCATTGAATGAACCATTGCTCCCATTGACTGTTTACTTCTTAAGGGTGTGCACTACTTATTGTTTTAATTGAAATTACTTATGTCAATATTGAAACAGTTTACATTAAACAGGTACAATACGCATTTTTCAATAAGTCCACTTTTCTCTATTAAGCTGTTTTAATTTATCTGATGTAATATTCCAATCTTAAATGTCATGTTTGCATTGGCTGGTAGTGGAAAATCCATCTAATTAACAGAGATAAAGACTTTAAAGCATCGGTCTGTGTAAATAAGGACTGTGTAATTACTTCATGAATAATGTGTTTAACTTAGTGAATTAGGTATCTGAAAAAACCCTTTTTAATAATATGATTTCTTGAAAATATATTTACACTACACACATTCAGAATAGCTTAATATAAACTGGATTTTTTTTCCTGTGAAGTGCCTTGTTTGATGTATTTTCAAATGTTTTATCTTTCATTTTCAATATAGCTGACTTTTTGAAGAATATTTACATTTCAAAAATGTTTATATTTCAAAATTATTCAGTTTTCATAATTCAAAACCGCTAAATATACACTGAGCAAATGATCCTGTAGTATCACATATGCTGTGTGCTGAAAAACTGATGAAGTATCTGGTTTCTTTGCTATGTCTGCCATAAATAGCTCAGAAGAAAGGGGTTGCAAAGTTACTAAATTGCTAATGGTTGGTCAATAATTTTAGGATATTGTCCATGCATCTGTGAAAGCACGCTGTGGAACTGAAGAGAAGTAAAATTAATGTTTGTACTCCATGATGTGTTGTTGATTGTGGAGTCTTTGATAAAACTGGAAAAAGGTTTATCTGTCTACCTCTCTGTGTCATTACACCACATGGGAAATTTAGCTGCAGCATATCAGCAACTCTGTTCCCAGAAACTCTATCAATCACTCGATTCAATGTGTTTGCCTCACTGGTATTTTAGTCCCCCATTCCCTCAACATCTGCTGCATGGAAGTGGAGCACTCATCCCTTCCTCTTTCTCTTTTCTTGCATAGAGCACAAAACTGGCAGCAGCATTGTTTATCCTCTGGTGAGAAAATCAGAAGGACCAGGGAATGTAAAACCCGCATGTGGGATTTAAAGTACCCTAAACAAGAGCCTGCCATGATCCTTGGGGTGTTTGGGTTTAAGGTTTTGTTTTTGCTCATTTCCCTGTTGCTCATTTATATTTGATCTATCTTGCTCAGTTTGTATTTCTGTGTGTATTATTGCTAGGAAGGTTCTGCCATATTAGTTATTTCCTTTATGTTTATTATTGTCTTACGTTTGTACATCTTGGTTTATTTCTATTGGATCTGTCTTGGTCTTTATCCCCTAGTTTTTAATTTCTTTTGCTGCTTAGTTCAGCTTCCCTCTCTTACTTTCTCTGCTTTACTTCCCACACAGCTGTACCACAACTCCTCTGATTAATTCCCTAATCAATTTCCTTCCCTGCCTCAGTATTTATCTCCTGGTTTTTCTTTGGTCCTTGCTGGACTTTTCTGTTAGACTGCCTGTGCTCCATGACCTGCTCTTCTCCCAGTTCCTCCTGTAGGTTCTGCTTATTCATTATTTAAGTCAGTCTCTACTTCAGAGTCCTTCACAACCTCAACATTACTGTTGAGCTGAAACTTTATCTTCACCAACTTTGAGTTGCCGTTTTTCATTACCATTTCCATCTATCAGTTAATGGGGAAAGCTGCCTTAAAGTCTAATGTTTTGGATCCTTACTTGTAGAAATTTGTAATGCAAATCCATTCTAAATTGTCACTATCCAGCAGTTTAAGTGGGTTTTAATTGGCCTAGTGACAAGCTTTTACATTAAATATTTTCTTTCAAAAACATCAACAATGTTTGTCTGAAGATGTCTTTTTTAACCAACAAAACATTCTGATTTTATTAATACATTTGTCATAATATAATTAAAAACTCAGGCCTTTTTTTTTTACCTTGTCTTTCCTTGTATTGCTTTCTTTAAATAAGACCAGCTTCCACAACTCTCCACATTTAATGCTCTGTCTTTATTAAAGCTTCACATCTGCTAAAAAGGTAATGACTGAGACGAAACAAAAGTGTGTCTTTTATTTATTATTTGTCATCATTATGTAGAACTCAGTTTTCACTTTAACATTAAATTGTTTTTTTGTACTTTTTTTGACAAAAAAGCCACATTTTGTTAATCAATAAGTGTTGTTTTTTTGTTTTTACAACATTTTAACTAAAAAAACAAAAAAACAATAAAAGTGTAAATTGTTGAAAGGAATGAATACTTTTTATAGTCACTGAAACTGCTTTTAACTGTCTTTCAGACAAAAGAAAAAAAAAAAATCTGGGTTTATTTGAGTCCATCAAAACCACAACCTGGAGGTTCTTCATTGCTGAGTGTTGCTGCAAATGACATCATCAGAACATTGAGCACAGCTCATGCACTCCCATGGCCTGCACACGTTCCTACTATGCTGCCCATATCCATGCCCACTTCAGTGAGGAACATACAAGAAGGGAAAATAAGAGTTATATGAATGGTAACTAGCATTTACAACTACAGAGGAATGTTAAGGCTATGTGATGGCTGCTTAAATTCAGAACGGCCACATTTTACTTGCATGATACAAAGAAGAAGTTACTTTTTTTTTTTTGAGGGCGTAGTGTTGACAG